ACAATGGATCTTGTGGCTCCAAATCAACCGGATTCATATGACGACAGCAACATGCCTGTAGAAGATGAAACTCTACGTAGTATTGAAGAACCTTCAGAAGAGTCTCTTCCTACCATACCTCGACGAAATCCAACTCGTGAGAGGCACCCACCAGCAAGACTGCAAGACTTTATTACGTACAAGCTCAAGCACCCCTTATCCAACTACTGTTCTTATCAAAAGTTGTCACACAATTACACTGCCTATTTGAGTAATATATCTGCGCATGAAGAGCCTCAATCATTTCAAGAAGCTAACCAATCCCAAGTATGGCAGCAAGCAATGCAGGATGAACTGCATGCACTCGATCAACATAAAACCTGGAGCATTGTGCCACTGCCCAAAGGAAAGAAGATAGTAGGCTGCAGGTGGATATACAAGATTAAATTCAACTCGGATGGGTCTATTGAAAGACACAAGGCACGATTAGTGGCCCGTGGCTTCACTCAAACATTTGATGTGGATTACAAGGAAACCTTTGCCCCCGTTGCAAAGATGAACACAGTGCGTGTACTCTTGTCTGTGGCTGTCAACAAAGGATGGCCTATGTATCAAATGGATGTAAAAAACGCCTTCTTACATGGTGAGCTTGAAGAAGAGGTCTACATGAGATTACCACTGAGTCACTCTCAAAGTCATAAACAGGATGTTGTGTGTAAACTGCACAAATCAATTTATGGTCTTAAACAATCACCGAGAGCCTGGTATGCTAAGCTCAGTTCAGTCCTTATCAGTGTTGGTTTTGGAAGAAGCAATGCGGACTCCTCTTTATTTGTACGCTCAGGCACCGCTGGTACATTGGTTGTTCTTGTGTATGTTGATGACTTGATCATCACCGGAGATAACCCTGAAGAAATCAAAGAACTCAAGCACTCCCTTCAGCAACGCTTTGCAATAAAAGATCTTGGTGTTCTGAGATACTTCCTTGGCATCGAAATGGCTACATCTCACAAGGGCTTCTTCCTTAACCAGCGCAAATATGTTCTGGATCTCCTTAAGGAAGCAAACATGAGTGATGCTAAACCGGTCCCTACACCTCTTGACATTAAACTTAAGGTCAGCTTAGAGGGTCAATCTCTTCCAAACATAAGTTATTATCAGCGGTTGGTTGGTAAGTTGATATACCTGACCATCACAAGGCCCGACATTACCTATGCTGTCAGTATTGTTAGCCAATTTATGCACTCTCCCACGATGGAGCACTTTAACCTAGTCAAAAGGATACTTCGGTATCTAAAAGGTTCTGTGGGACATGGTATAATCATGAAAAAAAATGCAAGCACTCAGATTACAGGTTATTGTGATGCAGATTGGGCTAGCAATTCCATTGATCGTAAGTCTACAACGGGATTTTGCACGTTTGTGGGAGGCAACCTTGTCTCATGGAAAAGCAAAAAACAAACTGTCGTTGCAAGATCCAGTGCTGAGGCAGAATATCGGGCAATGGCATCTACTGCGTGTGAACTAATCTGGCTCAAAGGTTTACTGTGTGACTTAGGTGTTTTCAATCATCAATCCATGTCCCTTTTCTGTGACAATCAGGCTACAATGCACATTGCTTCCAACCCAGTTTTTCATGAGAGAACCAAGCACATTGAAGTCGATTGTCACTATGTTCGTACACAAGTTCAATCTCAGGTTATCCAAACGCATTTTGTAAGGAGCTCGGATCAACTTGCGGACCTATTCACAAAATCATTGGCCTCTCATCAGTTTCAGCTTCTTCTTGGCAAGCTTGGATCTATCAACCTTTTGGATCCAGCTTGAGGGGGAGTATTGGATGTGTCATTATTAAAAGTAGGGTGGATAACAGCTCAGCTGCTGTTGGTGTTTAGCTGTTGCTTTCGGTCCTCCATCATCTATTGTTTTTATCCATTGCTTTCGGCCCTTCTTCACTGTAAAGCTAAAGTTAGATAATAGATTAAGATTAGTGGGATTGGAGGTCATCATTATGTTGGCTTAGCTACCATGGTCCTCCTTTCTTCTTCACGTTTTTTCTTCTCCCATATATGTTGCATCGTGTAATGTTTTTCAGATATGAAACATACATCAAACATTCAACAAATATTAAAAAAAATCTTCTGGTGAACAATTATTTCACAAATTTGAGTACTCAATAAGACACAGATATCCACTTAATTGAGTTGAGTTCTACGAAAACCTAGCACAGATACTATCATTTGGTTGTTCAGTTTTTCTTGCACATAATACTTTTGAATACATGTAAAAAGAGTAAAGTGGCTAAAATCTTGCTTCTTGTAAAATCGTTTCAGAAAGTGTTTTGCACAGAACAGCCCATCACTGCCATACTCTTTCAACTTGTGAACTTTCTTTCTATAGTCTCATGTGCACCTTTTCCCCAGCAGCCTACAGAATTCATATCTCATGAAAAACATTTATGTGCTTAATAATTGAAGCTCTCTGATTAAGTGTAGTCTTTGTAGCCATTCAATGAAGAAATTTGTTAATATTACCTGTTCTGTGTTTTTCAGGCTTCTTGTTGGCGGCTTATTAGATTGTCAGAATGCTTTGAACTCACATCATTATCACAAGCTCTTCAGGTTGTTTGTGTCTTGTCGTAAGGCCTTAAAACATGTAATTCTGGCTTGTGAAGAGCAGACAGTAGCTAGTCAAGCCTCACATGCTTCAGTGTTCCTTGAGGATACATTTCCTATTTTATGGCTTTACAAGTCAGTTTATGCGTTTCTTGGGACTCAAGAGTCATTTTCAAAAGATAATCGTCGCCCATTTAATGAAATGATCTTGATGGATCACACATTTTTTGTGTTTCTGACATCAAGTAAAAACCAACTTAATCATGCTGTTCATCTCCCTAAAGCTGCTGAACTGAATGCTGAACCTGTCTATGAACATAGTAATTCAAGTGAATCTGATCAGTGCTTGGATCCTTCCAAATGTAATGAAACCAGGAAAAGTGTAGCCATTATTGCTAACAGTTTCACAGAACAGATGCAAAGCCTACTATTTAATTTGAAGGAGGGCCCTTATGACGGAAAACTTGGGATTGATGTTGATGCTCTAAATTTGAACAAGTTTTAATCCTTAAGTTCTTGCCTTAGTGGGTTTTTATGGGGCCTAGCATTTGTTGTGAACCATACAGATGCGAGAAATAGTGATCATGAAGCAAACTCATCACAGTGGAAACTTGAACCCATCACCGAACTCAACCTTTGCATAAATGTTTTTGCAGAATCTGCTAGACTTCTCTTACAAATGTTGCTTTTTGACGATAATCAACGGTCCAGAACTTTATGTGATGCTCGAAATGTTCAAAAGACAGACTGCAACGTAGATTCAGGTGCAGAGGAGTTTTTACCAGAAGGCACTGGTGTTGAGACTGACATTGCACGCGGAAGACTACATAATGAATCAGAAGCTGCAATGACCTGCTCAGCATCACCTGACATCCATGGTAACTCGGGGTCTGGTAGTGTCCATAGAAGAAAGTTACATTTGAAAGGTGCAGTTTTGGCTGCCAGTGCATTGACTGATGTTGATTCATTTGAATTGCAATTTTTAAATAAGCCTTTGTTGAGACGCCTGCTAAAAGATGATTACCCAGATGCATCGTTTTTGTTCAGGCAGTTGTTTGTTGCATCGTCATCTATGTTGAGGTTAAGTTTGCATATGAATAGTGCTCCCCTGACCCCAAGCTTGGTGCATATTTTTACTGGCATCACACAACTCTTGTTGTTGGAATCAGTGGACATGGATCAGGTGCCGCACTTTTTTTATTTTGTGTGTTTAGATGGTGTTCTGAAGTACGTGGAAGAATTGGCGAATCATTTTCCTCTGACTAATCCTACGTTAACCAGAAATTTGTATGACAAGATGGTTCAGCTACAGTTACAGGCACTGGGGAAATGCATAACTTTACAGGGAAAAAGAGCCACCCTGGTATCTCATGAGACAGAGTCGAGCACCAAAATGATCCATTGTCCTATGGGATTTTCTGAAGCTTTTCTGTCTGGCTGGCCATACTTATTGGATGAACTTAAAACTAGGTTGACGTCATCGTTCACAGTGTTCATAAAGAAACCATCAGAGTTGCATCTTTTATGTGCTCTACAAGCTATAAAGAGAGTCGGTGAGCGGGAGGGGTGCACTATGAGTTATGACATACATACTGAAAGTGTATATGGGGGAAAGGTTTCTTCATTTGTTGCTGCTGGCCTGGATTGCTTGGATTTGGTACTGGAGTTTGTTTCAGGTAATCAACAAAACATTTGAGCATTTTGGAACCTATATTGGAAGGTACTGGTCCAGTGTTGGAGCATAGGGACTGTGAACTAAGTCTTCGCCTTTACATGTCTTCTACTAGTCATAATGTTTGTGAAAAAAAATATGAAAGTTTGCTACGAATATTTCATAATTCTATGAAATCACATTGTTTGTCACCACTCTGTTATGTGTAATGGTCATGTCCGCTATTAGTACGTATTTTATATAGATTTCAAGTGCATATGACTAAAGGTTGTTGGGACTTGCTTTTTTGATCATTTGTTTTCCTTTCAGGACGCAAACATTTGAAGGTCGTTCAAAGACACATCCAGAGCTTCATTGGTAGCGCCTTCAATGTTATTCTACACTTGCAAAGTCCAGTAATCTTGTATGAGAGAGTGATCCAGAGGAAAGGTAATGCTAATAATGATCCAGATCCAGGATCAGTCATTCTTATGTGTGTTGATGTACTGGTTAGAATTTCTGGCAAACATGCTCTGTACCAAATGGAGCCCTGGCATGTAGCACAATCTTTACGTATACCTTCAGCACTTTTTCAAGACTTCCATCTTTTAAAACTTCCGGAAGCTCCCGTTCCTGATGATTCTTCAACAATTCCAAATAACCAAGTTTCTAATCCAGTAACAAGTTTACATTTCTCTGGCATAGATAGGCAATACTCGGTTGACCTGTTTTCTGCCTGCTGCCGGTTGTTGCATAATGTTCTGAAGCATCACAAAAGGTAAGTGTATTCCTTTCGTATGAAAAACGTTGCTTTGACTATTAACCTTGGGCCAAGTTGGAAAACATGAAAGTAAAGGGCTGAATATGAAGAAGAATAGCTTTTATCTTTTATATGCATTTTTTGCAAATTGATTATTGAAGAGGGTTGAGATGGCATTCTGAAGTTATCATTTTATAGTTTCCTTCCTCATTAAGTAGACGCCGAATATAGTTGCAATCGTTGTTTTGAAATTTCAAGTGAAAGTGAATGGTGCGTTGCTATACTTGAAGCTTCTGTTCGTGTACTTCTTCATTGTTCGGAGACAGTGGACGCTGATGCAGTCTTCAAGAAAGGTTTCTTTTCATGGGAAGTGGCTGAGGGAGTCAAATGTGCTGGTAGTCTCCGAAGGATTTACGAAGAGGTAGGTAACTTTTCATATACATGCTTCACTAAAGTTGTATTTATCATCTTAGATTTTGGGTATGTTCCATTACATCGAAAGGGAGAACAAAATGAGATCTTCCTCAGTAGATTTTGTCATATCTGTTTTTCAGATAAGACATCAAAAGGATGTCTTTGGTCCGCACTGTGCCCAATTTTTATCCAATTACGTATGGATTTATTCAGGATTTGGCCCCTGTAAAACAGGCATCAAAAGGTAATTTCTGGTACCTTAAAATATTTGTTGTTGTGATGTTCACGAGATTTTTGATGAGCTCAAAAGGCATAACCGATAAGTTAATTATACACATGTATCAATTATATTTGTTATATCCAAATTTAGTACGTTATATCAATTCTCACTGGCCCTGGGTTAAGTTGAAAGAGGGGTGAGGTTGGTGTAGATCCTATGCTGATTAAGTCACTTTCTTCCCATTTTCCTCCCTCTTAAAACTTTTCCGGAAACTTGATTTCGAAATGATGTTATCGCCTTCCAATTTTTATACAATGGGAGGATACTTTTACCCAAAGACAAAGTATGTTCAAGTGACCTATTACAATTTACAATCTCCAAATGCGGTTATCTTTTGGAGTGGATAATCTTGGGGTGACCGAAATACTTTGTGTCAGGCAGAACTAGCTGAACAGTTTTATGTTTAATTTTCAGGGAAATAGACGAAGCTCTAAGACCAGGTAGGTGTATATGCATTAATAGATACTTGCTCGCCAGATGATCTTCAACGTCTTCATACCATATTTGGAGGTAAACAATTTTTATTTTATCAAAGCTCAACGTATGACTTGAAGGGAATTTAAGCAGTCCCACATTTTCTTCTTGTTTGTGCAGAGGGTCCTTGCAGAAACACCTTGGCAGCTCTAAAACATGATTACGAACTCAATTTCCAATACCGGGGAAAAGTCTAACCGAAGCTTCTTCCTATGGTGGGCTATACCGGCATCGTCATTTGACGTGACTGTACGACTCTTGTAACATGTAAGTTGTAACAAATAGGATAACATGTGTATGAGATCATAAATTTTGTAGTCATACCCTTCTCATTCTTTGAGCTACAATTGGTAGCAAATCCTCGTCGAAGAACAAAGCTGTTTGTTCATAATAGGGACTTGGGCCTAACATATGTATGTTAATCGGCCGTCTAATCCTTTTTGGGGTCAGAATTTTATTGCTAATTTAAGCATAAGTTTAAGCGTAAATGATGCATCATCAAATGTTTCCACATTTTTGTTCAGTTTGATTCGCGGTATTAGAGCGTGTTTGCAAACGTAAAAAGCACTTATGCTTACAAGCGTTTTTTTTCTGAGAATTGCACTGATTACAAACTCTACTATATGATCATGATGGATTTTCGCCTAAAATGTACTCAACCCACCCCCTTATTCAGCTGGTCCCCGTTCATTTCGATTATATAGTGGTGTTATGTTCCTAAATGGTATGATTAGGCAGCTGGTATGAAAACGATTGATAGAGCAACCACCAAACCTAATGCTGAGTCCAAAAGAAAACACCAAATACTTGTGCGGTTGAGATTATCAGACCTATATCTATACACAAATCCTTGTTTATATATCAATTGGGTTTCAAATTTCAAATTCCATCCACTTTGCTTTTCTGCAGAAACATCAACTTCCATTGACAAAGGCCATTGAATCTTTGATGGGACATCATCACTGTTGCAAAAGAGAAGCCCCCTCCTCATACCCGGTTCTGGTTTTCTTGGCGGTGGCCGCGGTGCTTCTTCTTCTGTCATCTTTGATCTCCTTCGATGTTGAAACCCCGAAATTTGAGATCAATTGGGGGCTCATAGCCACTCCGTTGCTGTTGCTAGCGGTTGTGCATTGGTTGTCGTCAGAAACTCCCAAGGCGCCATGTTTTGTGCCTCCACCGTGTTGCAAGTGTAGGCACGCTTGCAAGTGTGGCTATTACTAAAATGGTTGTGTTATTTATCCACTGTATCATTAAACACTGCGTTTCATGAGAGTTGGTTTGTCTAGTATGCATTTTAGGTAAGAGGATTGATGTCCTTGGTTTATTTATTGTAAGTAATGAGTTACAGTTGTTAATACTACGTCAAATTTGGGTTAATTATGGTCGTTGTAACGTTATTGAAAATTCGAGTCTTGATTGTAAATTTTGAATGCATTTTTGTTGTATTTTACTCTATCGTTACGTGGTGACTTGGTAGTACAACAGAATCAAAATACAAAGTTTCCACTAAGTAGCTTTTAGCCTATTACACTTCTTTTTTTGGTTCGACGCCCCTCTATGATTTCATGTTCTTCCTCCCGGGGGTGGGAGGATTGAGAAGATTCTATTGATTGCAGCTTTCTCTGAACCTATGGAAAAAACATGAGCACAAAAACAAAGGCCGGGTGCCTAATACAACATCAGCCGTTGCTGGCTTTAGGATCCCAAGAGGAATTTAGAACCTCATTAAAACTCCAAGGTTATCTTTGTACGAAAAATTTAAAGGCATGCAAGAGAGATTTGCAAATGACATATTTTAAGTTAAAAATTCACAAATTCCTCTCCGCATGCTTTTGTAATGTTCATTGAGCGTGTTCTTTATAAAGGAATTGGCAAGTGGCTCTCTACAATAATAATGAAGAGAAGTGTTGCTCTTATACCATTGCGTGGGTTCTAATCCTGTCGGTTTCTTAATCTAATATCTAATTTAACAAATCTATTGTTTGACAAAAAAATAAAATAAAAAATCTAATGGAATTTGAAAAAATCTTACTCCACTCAAGTTGCAAAATCTGCAAATGGTTTTACTAATTTCAGCGCAAAAAAATATGAAATCGACAGAAGGGTTTTCGATATCTGTCACAAAATCTACGTCCGAGTTAATGCCCACACCATCTGTTTTTTTCATTATTAAATTTTGCCTTCTGGTGGGAGAATTGAATTGGTATTGTAATTATCGTATGGCTAAGTGGGTTGATATTTTTAAAAGTTTAAAGTGCCTCCACGGCTCCACCGACTTTATGTTTAGAGACCACACAGATGTGGATGCATGCACTTTGGTCGACATAAAGAAAAATAGGTTTTTTTTTTTTGGTAAACAAAAAAATAGGTTTAGTGACCGTTAAATCATATTAACATAATGATAATGTTAGAGAAACTAAATTTTTTAAATTGAATTGACAAACCAAATGATATAGTTGTAGATGATTGGATTATTAACTGAACATTAATTAACGTGTTGGATTGTTATTGTTGATACATCATTTAGTTTACAAATTTGGTTTAAAAATTTGTTCTCCCTAACTTTACCCTTAATATAAGCCACCTATACTAATCTAAGAGAGAAAACCTAAAACAGAAAAGTTCCAACCTTGAGAAGTTTGGCCGAGTTTCTGTGAATCGTCGCTCGTTCAATTGAAGGTGTGCAAAACCAATGGAGCTTTGCCCCGCCTCCTTTGGTTCTGAATTAATGTCTTACTTTGCCGGCATTGGAACTTTGTTCTTGTTGGTCCTGGGTTGGTGGATATAGTTGTGATGTTTGACTGCTTCTTTCGGTTGGTAGGTTAATTGGTGATAAATTTCAATTTTATTTTGAGTATTTTGATGTTTTATGTTTGTGGTTTAGCTTCATTTATTATTTATGTATTATTTTGTAATCACTGCAGAAACAAATCATTATTCATGCTTTGTTTGCATAACTGGTGTTTCTTTTTGTTTGTCAGTCCTTTCTAGGGCTATGTAGAATGTAATTTGCCTATTTAAACTTTGTTAAATAAAAATTCTCAACCATTGACAAAAAATTTCTAAGGACCTTTAATGAAAGGGTTTTGTAATGGAAGCCGACATAGGTCACTAGGGAGAATAAGCTGTGTCTCTGTAAAACTCTCTTTTAGGAACTTGATTTTGGGAGCCTTGAAAAAAGGGGTTCACAAGGCATGTATGTCTCTGTAAAGTCGTAAGTCTATGTTCGGGGCTGATCCTTCTTCAGTGTCAAAAGTTCAATTTCTTTGGATAAAAAAAAAAAAAAAAAAAAAAAAGACGTCGACAATAGAATTTTAATTTTAATCACTGGATTTTTATCTTTAGGATATTTCATTTTGGCCGGTGCAGGTATCCACATATGCATAAGTTAAAAGAGGTCTTCTTATCTTACGGGTCTTCTTTTTCTTGTGGCCCCATGCATTCCCCTCCACTTCACCCATCAAAACCCCACAACAACTTCACTAAGCAATAGAAACAAAGAAACTTAAAATCAAATTCTAATCATATCGACTTAAAAAAGAAACAATAGTAACATTTAGAGCATCTTCAAAGAAGACTTCAAAACTACCATGTAGACTTACAACAGTAAAAAATGGTAGCAAACTCTTTTCAACCGATCTTTCAATTTTTTACGTGGCTCTGAGTTAATTGAAGACAAAACCTTTTACTATGAAATTTAACAGCACATGTCCAATATATTAAATGATTTTTAATAGATTAATATAATATCTAGTAAATGTTGTTATGTTTTCAACCATTTGATTTGTTGCCTCAATCATCGGACCTACAAAATGGTAGATTTTTTTTTATTAAATGACATTATTATTTACGAAAAATTCTATTTTAATCCTTGTGCAACGTTAGTTTTTGAATAAAACCTTGTCTAAGATTAAAAACTAATTCTAATCCTTGGCATTTAATTGTAGTTTTTGAACATTAAATAGGTTGTGATAGTTATTTAGTTTTTTGTTTGTAGGTTATACATTAATTTCCCATAATAAAAATGTTATTCATCATATATTTTTCATTGTGCGTAAATTTCTCCATATTTATGTATATGCATATTACGTACATATGTATGTTTAGATACTACAGTTATGTATCAATACATTAGTACTGACACATTTGTATCGATATATTCGTACTGAAAGTTATATACTGATACATTTGTACCGAAACTTACGTACTGAAACTTTTATATCTATGAGTAAAATAAGGTACCTAAAGTTATGTACTGATACATTTGTACCGAAACTTATGTACCAATACTTCCATACATATACATAAAATAAGGTACCGAAAGTTATGTATAAATTGTTTTTGTTTTGTTGTTGAATTTTTTTAATAATAAGAATTTGAATTTTTATTAAATTTTTATCTATTAATATGATTGGATGACACATCCCAATCCGGAATGTCCACTAGGACTCCTAATCGAGCTGTGTTGATCGACACCAAGAAGGTGACGAAGCCATAAAGTGTGATGATGTGGAAAAATGTGAATAAATTTAAACCTAAGAGTGCCTAAATACCAGAGTGCGCTGGTGAGTAGGAATGAACCCACTTCACACGTGACGTTAAAGCATAAGTAAGTACAGTGGAGTGGATAAGAATTGTACCCTCAAAAGTAACCACCTATTCTGAGATTTGCCAAGAATCCCCGTTAATACGAACTTTCAGCAATTAAAACCTGGAGGGGCGCAAAACAGAAAGTGTGAGTGGGCAAAAACAAACTTTTTAAAAACCATTTCAATTATCAAAGGGAGTAACCCCTCGTCGTAAAACCTGTATAATTTCCTAGAAAATAGAATATATACATATATCGAAACCATACTCGAATTAGCAAAATCCACATATATGCCATGTCAAATATCTCAGCATTAAATATGTAAGCCAGGTGATATCAATCAATGCAAATGATATGTCAACCGAAGTCACCTAATGTGACCTGTACGACTAAATCTAGAGCTTATCCATATAGCCAGAGTCACCTAACGTGACCTGTATGGCTCAAATCCACATCTCAACAAATATACCTACACACGAGTCGAAATCACCTAAAGTGGTTTGTACGACAGGACTGAATGTAAATAAATACACTTAAGTACTACAATCACGTGAAGACGGTATGAATAATTGCAGGTCACCTACGAGTCGGAACCACTTATAGTGGTTCGTACGATAGGATTGTGCACCTAACTTGGATCGAAGATAAGCGTATGGTGCGGGAGGTGAACATCACGTGAAGGACTGTGTCATAACCACGGGCGGGAGCACTAACACCGAGGTACATGTTTATGAGCTCTCAACACATCTCACATAATCATCAATTTACATAAACAATCTACAACTCACCTGGTACTTACCTGAGCGTCCACAGCGTCAAATCACATTTATGCATACTATACTAACTCATAATCTAAGTATAAAGCATGAGGCATGGCATTTCAAAACATAATTCCATTTAAACGCATTTTCTGGGAAAAATACCAAGCATACATATATATATTGAAAACAAAAGCCCACTCACCTGGAGTTCACGCTACAACTCCCTAGCATAACCATAAAGGCGTTACGAACGATTGGCGCCTAGAACAATTATCAAATCACAACTCAAAATTCTTATCAATAATATATGTAACTTACATAACACACATCCGTACGTAGTTTGATTTGGAAGATCCGCATTATACTTCCAGAACAACATCCTAAAGTTCCATTACGATCCAACGGTCGGATCTCCGCCAATTGCCAAAACCAAGTGGCGGTTAACATTTTACTTTGTGAACTTACAAATCCAATTCGGGAAGATCCGTATATCAGATTTCCGATCCGTAAGTTCCTATAGTCCTCAAGTACTACGTACTATAACATATTAAAGTTTGGTGACGATCCAACAGTCGGATCGTCGATTTACATCTTTACCAAGTAACGTATCTTAATGAATTTAGGTCCAAACGATCAACCTACGTTATACAATTACCAAAACTGAACTTAAGACAACTAATTTAGCCTAAGAATAACACTAACGGCCCCTGGCCACGCTCCACCGTCGGTGGCGGTCGGCCACCCCGACTCACCAAAAAATCCAACTATTTCAAAAAATTCTCAAACTTCACAGAAATAAAGATCTCAATGAGTAGAGCAAGTTTTTTACCTGTGGCCAAAACCAATTTGGCCGGGAAGAGCTCCAATTTTACTCAAACCCGCCGGAAACCCTAGAATGAGTGTGTTTCGATTCAACCACCATACACGCTCCAACGCCTCCATCAATGCTTGGGTTATGTTCCTAACCTTTAGAGAAGCTATTTGATGGTGAAGATCAATGAGAAGGGTTGCAGAAAAATGGCGAATTGCCGTCGAGTGTCCTTGAAGCTGTCAGCTTCGTTCTTCGCAAAATAGAGGCCAAAACCCTCAGATTTTTAAGTGGAAATGAGAGAATGGAGGTTAAGATTGCGTATGCAAGTAAGGGTTGGGTAGAATTCGTGGCAAAAAATCGATGGAGAACGCCGGATTTTGCCACCCAAAATCGGGTCTGCTGTCGGATCGACGAGATGGGTCGTCCAATACCCAATTTGCTGCCTTTCATCTCCTCTCCTTTCCCTCCTTTTCCATCTCTCAGATTAGCCCTCTACTCTTTTCTCCTTCCTGATTCGTTATGTTTTCTCCAATCAATGGGGTTCTCTCTCTTCTCCTCATTCTCATACTCCATCCGCCACCTCCTTTTTTCCTTTCTCAACTAAAATGAAATAAAATAGTAATATAATTATAAATAAATATATATATATATATACACACACGCACACACACACACATATATATATATATACATAAAATAGTAAAGATAACCTTTACAAAAATACTTTTCGGGTTTGTAATTCCGTAAAATTTTAATCGTAGCTCCTAATTCGCTTCTGCTTGTGCCTACACGTCTGTATCGTCAAGTACTTCAGGAATACGCTAAAGGAATATTTCACACACCTCACTATACGTTGATCAACAAAAGTCAAGACCCTCACCTCTAAGGGCATTTTCGTAAAATCACACTTTAAAAATTTGTAAGAACATAAAATTAGGGATGGATCGTCACATTGGAGCACAAAAAAAATACATTTATTATGGATGGGTAAAGAATTTTGAATGGTAACATAAATAATAAATGTGCTATAACTTCTTATATGGTAAATTTTAAAAATAATGGCTTATTAGATTTTGAAAATCATTCGGGTTAAAATCTAAAACCAATCTTATTGAAACCCTAAAATCTAAAAGCCCCTATTATTTAACATATCGGGTGGAGCAAAATATTGTATAAAATGTCGAATTGCCACATAAGCCATCAAATATCGTTTTGATGTTTAAAATTTGACACATCTTTTGAAGAAGCTCTTGGATAAGCAAACTCACTACATTACTTCTAAGAGCTATTTGTATTAGAGAATGTGTCAACAATGTGATCAATCTAATATATTTGCGAAATTTTTACTTTGAGAATTGTTAGTTACACTCTAAAAATCTAATTGGACACTCTTCATAAGAGTATTTGTTTTCTAGTTACAAAAAAATTGAAAGAGTTAAAATTTTAAAATGCTAATAATAGTTTCCTTTACTTTTTAATGATTATTTTTCTATACGCGTGAGCTAATAATTTATAAATAAAGAGAAACGACTTTTTAACCACCAAAACATTCACTCCCCCATTATCTATATATAAAGCCAATGGAAAAGTGAATAGTAATTTTGGTGTCACCAAACTTCAACAAAAATATTCGGACAAAAATGCCCCTATGACAAAAAATTCTAAAGGCATTCCAAAATAATGCATCAAATAAGACAGGAGCATTTTCATCATTTTAATAGTATTTTTTAATCATTAATTTTTTCTGTTTTTTTTTAATTAGTACCTCACAACAGGCTAGCAATAATGTGATTCAATTTCCCTATTTTTAAACAAGTTCAAAACATCTTAAGAGGCGTGTAATGTCGGTTATAAAAAAGGTCATTCGCACACGGATAATAATATGATGAAATTAGTTCTCAAATGATTTTTTTTTATTTTAACAAACGATATTATCTACACTAAGGGGGAGGGAGTGGGCTTAGCCTCACAATGGGCTAGCAATAATATGATTCAATCAATTATTTATTAAGTATAATTTTCTCTATTTTAAACATGTTCAAAACGATATTATCTACACTAAGGGGGAGGGGGTGGGTTTAGCCTCACAATAGGCTAGCAATAATGTGATTCAATCAATTATTTATTAAGTATAATTTTCTCTATTTTAAACACGTTCAAAACATCTTAAGAGTTGTGTAATGCCGATTATAAAAAATGTCTTTCGCTAGCGGATAATAATGTGATTAAATTAGTTATCAAATGATTTTTCTTTTTAAACAAATGATATTATCTACATTAAGGAGGAGGTGGGTGGGTTTAGCCTCACAATGGGCTAGCAATAATGTGATTCAATCAATTGTTTATTAAATATTATTCTCTCTATTTTTAAACACATTCAAAACATCTTAAGAAGCGTGTAATGTAATTTATGAAAAGGTTTTTCGTACGCGGATAATAATGTAATTAAATTAGTTATCAAATGATTTTTTTTTTAACAAAAGATATTATCTACAATAAAAGGGAGGGGGTGGGCTTTGCCTCACAATGTACTAGCAATAATGTAATTTAATCAATTGTTTATTAAATATTATTTTCTCTATTCTTAATGTAAATTCTATAGATATCGACTTTATTATGTGAATTCAGCTGCTTTAATTGATCTATGATGGGTTTCTTCTACCATGATCTAAGATTATTCATTTACTTCAAATATTTGACTTTCCTTTTATCAATATACGCATATAAATACATTTAAAACGTGTAAGTTGTGCATAGCATGCCGTGATTCCAAAAATGTTCGTCATTTTAATTAGTTTTTCTGTGCTATTTTTTTTAATTGGTACCTCACAATATGCTAGAAAGAATGTGATTCAATTTCTCTATTTTAAAACACGTTCAAAACATCTTAAGCGGCATGTAATGCGGGTTATAAAAAAAGGTCTTTCGCATGCGGATAATAATGTGATTAAATTAATTGTCAAATGATTTTTTTTTTTTAACAAACAATATTATCTAAACTAAGGGGCAAGGAGGTGGGCATAGCCTCACAATGAGCTAGCAATAATATGATTCAATCAATTGTTTATTAAATATTATTTTTTCTATTTTTAAACACATTCAAAACATCTTAAGAGGCGTGTAATGCTGGTTATAAAAAAAATCTTTCGCACGCAGATAATAATGTGATTAAATTAGTTGTCAAATGATTGTTTTCTTTTTTTAGCAAATGATATTATCTACATTAAGAGGAGGGGGTAGGATTAGCCTCACAATGGGTTATCAATAATGTGATTCAGTTAGTTGTTTATTAAATATAATTTTCTCTATTCTTAATGTAAATTCTATAAAGACCAATTTTATTATATGGATTCAGTTGTTTTAATTGGTTTATGAGGGGTTTGTTCTAGCTTGATCTAGGATTATTCATTTACTTCAAATATTTGACTTTCTTTTTTGTCAATTGACACATATAAATACATTTAAAATGTGTAAGTCGCGCGTAGCACGTCGTGATTCAAAAAATATCTTCTGCACGCGCGTGAGCGTGTGCATGAAGGCTAGTTTGTCTATAAAACCAAAAAGACTTCAATTCATAACCTCCTTTTGAATTTGTGCCTATCTTTCAACACCTAAAAAACCTTGTCTTCAAATCCCATGGCTTATTATGGAAAAAGCCCAACCAGCTCCTTCTTAGAAGGGTTTTCCTTAAGTCCTCTGCCCTACCCAGTTCTCCTAATCCTAGCAGTAATCTCCATCTTCTTAGGCATCTCATGGTACTCCTCCATTGAGTCAGTTGTGGACAAAGTTGGAGTGCAATTCAATTGGGTGTTTTTGCTCACACCAGTAGTTCTCATCCTCATTGTGAAGGCGCTCTCATATATGGATCCTGATTGGCTCTTCTCCATGTCGCTGTGGGAACAACGCCGGAGGACTCACCATATACCTTCAGAAGGAAGCTCACCTTGGGGTGTTGCTGCTTTCATTGTGCTCTTACTTGTTTTGCTGAATTACCAGTCATTTTTTCGTGATAGTTGGCTCTTTTAGTAAGTGTATGTAATAGTACCGTTTTCTTATGCTCTAAGTTCTACGTTTTGTATGTGTATATTGGAGTTGTATATACTGAAACTAGATCTTCTACTACAAATTTCTGTACTGCTTTTGACTTTCATATTAATCACGATACACACTTTACATAAGAAAGAGCTGTAGATTTTATGTTGTCTGATTGTGAATTTAGATCACACGTTCAAAAAAAAAAAAAACAATGAAAATGATTAGTGATGTAAAATATAAATATGCTATGTTCTCAAACAGCCTATCAATAAAACGTTTCCCTTTAATTATTCCGTTCATATACAATATGATCATCTTGGTTTTTGGATCATTCTATATGATGTTTGTTTAATTGTTTCATTAGCCGAATTTGATTTCTTGGAAGAAATAATTAATTGTTACAAATTATAGACAAACTTGGTACTGAAGCTAGGGTGGTTGTAGTTTGTAAGTGATCATATAAATTGAAATTGAAATATATAAGTAGGTAACATATTTGAGTATGCAAAAAATTACCCCACATCGAAAAACGAGTTATCAAGAATTCGGCAATTTTCTGATCGCGTTGCTAATTATTTTGGAGTGAACCTTCGTGATGAAATTAAGGGTTTGTTTTAAGTTTTACAAATATTTATAATGTTGTCCCGGCCTTGCGTGTGCAATGAAATGACTCATTTTCTTGATCAGTTTGCTGTTAATGAAAAAGTAACTAGGGAGAATAAGATGTTTCTTTGTAAAACTCTCTTTTAGGAACTTGATTTTGGGAGCCTCTTGAAAAAAGGGGTTCGCAAGGCATATATGTCTCTGTAAAGTCATACGCCTATGTGCGGGGCTGACCATTCTTTAGTGTCAAAAGTTCAATTTTAAAATATGTTCAAAGTTCAATTTCCTCGGATACATACCAAAAAAAAAAAGACGTGGACAATTGAATTTTAATTATAATTTTTCAAAAACTTAATATTGTAAAACACACACGTAGGGATCTTTTTAATCAAACCAATATTATGAGATTCATTTGTGGATCACCATATAAAAATCTGTCCAAAACAAAATCCTCCAAGACATTTCTAATCATGAAAGTTTAAAACAACAATTAAAATTGTCAAACATTATGTCCTATTTTGTTGACTTAAAATATGTAAAATAAACTATATATTTCTTATCACTGGATTTTTATCTTTAAGATATTTCTTTTCGGCCGGTGCAGGTATCCACATATGCATAAGTTAAAAGAGGTCTTCTTATCTTACGGGTCATCTTTTTCTTGTGGCCCCATGCATTACCCTCCACTTCACCCATCAAAACCCCACAACAACGTCACTAAGCAATAGAAACAAAAAAACTTAAAATCAAATATCTAATCATATCGACTTAAAAAAAGAAACAATAATAACATTTAGAACATCTTCAAAGAAGACTTCAAAACTACCATGTAGACTTACAACAGTAAAAAATAGTAGCAAACTCTTTTCAACCGATCTTTCAATTTCTTACGTGGCTCTGAGTCAATTGAAGGCAAAATTTTTTACTATCAAATTTAACAACACATGTCCAATTGATTAAATGATTTTTTTTAATAGATTAATATAATATCTAGTAAATGTTGTTATGTTTTCAACCATTTGATTTGTTGACTCAATCATCGGACCCTACAAAATGGTAGATTTTTTTTATTAAATGACATTATTATTTACGAAAAATTCTATTTTAATCCTTGTGTAACATTAGCTTTTGAATAAAACCTTGTCTAAGATTAAAAACTAATTCTAATCCTTGGAATTTAATTGTAATTTTTGAATATTAAATAGGTTGTGATAGTTATTTAGTTTTTTGTTTATAGGTTATACATTAATTCCCATATTAAAAATGTTATTCATCATATATTATCATATATTTTTCATTGTCTATAAAACCACAAAGACTTCAATTCATAACCACCTTTTGAATTTGTGCCTATCTTTCAACACCTAAAAAACCTTGTCTTTAAATCCCATGGCTTATTATGGAAGAAGCCCAACCAGCTCCTTCTTAGAAGGGTTTTCTCTAAGTCCTCTGCCCTACCCAGTTCTACTAATCCTAGCAGTACTCTCTATCTTCTTAGGCATCTCATGGTACTCCTCCATTGAGTCAGCTGTGGAAGAAGTTGGACTGCAATTCAATTGGGTGTTTTTGCTCACACCAGTAGTTCTCATCCTCATTGTGAAGGGGCTCTCATATACGGATCCTGATTGGCTCTTCCCCATGTCGCTGTGGGAACGACGCCGGAGGACTCACCATATACCTTCAGAAGGAAGCTCACCTTGGGGTGTTGCTGCTTTCATTGTGGTCGTTCTTGTTTTGCTCAATTACCAGTCAATTTTTCGTGATAGCTGGCTCTTTTAGTATGTGTATGTAATAGTACTGTTTTCTTATGCTCTAAGTTCTTCGTTTTGTATGTGTATATTGGAGTTGTATATAGTGAAACTAGATCTTCTACTACAAATTTCTATACTGCTTTTGACTTTCATATTAATCACCATACACACTTTACAGAAGAAAGAGATGTAGATTTTATGTTGTCTGATTGTGAATTTAAATCACACGTTCAAGAAAAAATGAACATAATTAGTGATTTAAAATATAAGTATCCTATGTTGTCAAACAGCCTGTCAATAAAACGTTTCCCTTTAATTATTCCTTTTATATACAACATGATCATCTTGGTTTTTGGATCATTCTATATGATGTTTAATTATTTCATTAGCCGAATTTGATTTCTTGGAAGAAATAATTAATTGTTACAAATTATAGACAAACTTGGTACTGAAGCTAGGGTGGTTGTAGTTTGTAAGTGATCATATAAATTGAAATTGAAATATATAAGTAGGTAACGTATTTGAGTATGCAAAAAATTACACCACATCGGAAAACGAGTTATCAAGACTTCGGCAATTTTCTGATCGCGTTGCTAATTATTTTGGAGTGAAACTTTCGTGATGAAATTAAAGGTTTGTTAGGTTTTACAAATATTTATAATGTTGTCCAGGCCTTGCGAGTGCAATGAAATGACTCATTTTCTTGATCAGTTTGCTGTTAATGAAAAAGTTTGTTCAACTAGTTAGACTGGTTCAGAATGGCTCATGAATCGTATTAAAAATGAGGATGTTACTTCTTGTTACAACAGTCAAAGTGCGACTATAATATTTTTTTTACTTGTCGATTATTTTTTTCATGAAGTAGGTAAACATTAATGAGTCTGATCAAAAGCATTAGATAAGTAAATCTTCCTGTCCTTGAAAGTTTAATGAAATAATTATATGGTTTACTTTTAGCGACGTTTACTTAAACTCGATTTTGATCTCTATTTTGCTTCCTATAATTTAAAAATCATCATTTTACTCCCGTACACTCATAGTTGGGTTCACTTTTCCCTTTAGAACTCAATTTTAACCCTACTTTGCCAAAAACTTGAAAGTCGTCTTTATAAAACTCAAAATTTGTTCTATATTGTCATGAATATGTTAATTTCTTACGTAGATTTGATTTGGATGCATCAAGCTAATAAATTTCTTTTCAATTTTTTATCTCAAATTTCTTTTAAAGTTTACATATCTGATTATTGAATGTTGACGCATAATGAAATTTTATAATCAAATTTATTACACATTTGGCATAGTTTTACTAAGTGTAGGGTCTCACATATATTTCAAGATGCGACCTTTAACTTTTAGGGAGAAGTAAGAATCTACAGACCAAAATGGAACAAATTTTAAATTTCAAAAGATAAAATATTGACTTTTGAGTTACATGAAACGAAATGATATCAAATTAGAGTTCATAAGGCCTAGTTAAAAATAAGCATAATTATATATAGAAAGTTGGAGCCACCCAGCCAAAAGACCAGGAATTGAGCCTCATAATCCGGGAGTTTACTGTTTCCAAATGTCTTTTCCTTTTCTTTTCAGCTGTTTGTTTAAATCGGTCCTCTTTCACATCTGTAATCGAACTTAGAAAATAACTAGCAAATTTTACCCCATGTTGTTGCAAGAGCGAAAATTTGACTATGAATTATATTTTTAACATATAAATATGCAAAGAGTGTTATAAATACTAAACAGAAAATGGAACAAATATTTTTACAAAGCTGGCTAAATTTATATAATTTACAGAAAAGACATTATCAAATGCCTTATTATCAGTATACAAAAATGGTTAACTAGTATTCGTCCTTGACAGTGATCCTAAAGAGCCCAATATTTATATACACAAAAAGAATGGGGAATTCATGTTTGAATCAACTATTTACACACACAAAAAAATGTGAATCAATACTTATTTGTTTTGGATAATATATGCCAACATCCTTTAACACATGAGCAAAAGTTTTTTGGTTGAAGCAGTCACCGCAGAAAAAACAGTATTGATCATCAGAAAAAAATAAAAAATAAAAATAGGAAGCTAAAAATGAAAGAAAAAGAGGAGAAAAAACAGAAGCCGAAAGCAAAAGGAAAGGAAAATAAGACAGCAGGAAAGCAAAGAGAAATAAAAGAGACGGGCCTACAAACATACGTTGCTTTATCACATTTTTTAATATTTTTTTGTCCTGCCACCAATTTTTTTTATTATTATTTTATCTTTTTCTGGACTAAAAGAAAGACTTGTCGTGCCACGCCGGGTTTAACTCATATTTTTTAATATTATTTTTTTGCCTTACTAAGGACATGTCATGCCACGCTGGGTTTAACTCACAGTTGCTTTATCACATTTTTTAATACTTTTTTTTTTGTTTTGCCATCGATTTTTCCTGCCATAAGTTGCTTTATCATATTTTTATTGAGAGACAAATTGTCTACCTTTCTGTTTAGGTGCTCTTCCTATTCTCTTTTATTTTATGAGATCACAGTTAACCTACGTTAACATTTTATATTAATTTTTTTAATAAAGATAATAAGACAAAAAACAATAAGAATGTAAAATGTTGACGTAACTTAACTGTGATTGTATAAATAAAAAGGGATATGAAAGGCACTCAAACAGAAGGGCAAACAATTTGCCTCCATTTTTTTGTCCTGCCACCAATTCTTTTATCTTTTTCTGGACTAAAAGAAAGACTTTTCGTGCCACACCGGGTTTAACTCACATTTTTTCAAAAATTATATACCTTGATGATAAAGAGCTTGCAAAGCCGCAGAGAAAAACTGGAAATTCGAGCAACGACTTTTGCTGCAACTAAAAATCAAAGCAGATCGGAAAAGTACACCCAAAGCTTGAAAAAAATTAAAGGGATACTTTGGATGTAGTTTCTAGTCCCTAACATTTTTTGATTAAAACCTTAATGGTATTCAAAGTTTGATCAAAATCCCTTGACTTTATACACTTCATTATTTTACTATTAATATTTATAATTTTATAGTTTGACATTAATTGTTTGATATTTTATGAGATTTATAATCCTATAAATTTAAAATCCCTCATTATAATACTATTAGAAACAACTACAATAAAAAAATTCAAACATTTTGATTGAATAAATGGATAAAAACTATGTAACAATAAGAAATAATAAATGGCAAAAGAATGTATCCATAGTGTTAAAAAATTGGTACATTTTACATATAACAAAGTGGTACATTAATAAATAAGAATGGGTACATTATAAATAAATTAGGGTACAAATAAAAGATTAAAAATTATGAGTACAAATGAAATTTTAAAAAATATGGGCGTAAAAAGAAATTAATACATGGGCACAAATTAAAACTAAAAAGAAAATACTACAAATTAAAAAAAAAAGGTTGCAAATTAAAAGTGGGTACAAACTAAAAATATAAATATATGATGCAAAGTTTAGCCATAAAACATCAATATACCATATGTAATTTTTCTATCATTGATTAATTATACAATATCACGTGACGGTAAACACATGGGCACAAATACAAATAAAACTTTAAAAAATATGGGTACAAATTAAAACGGAAAAGAAAATTGGTACAAATTAAAAAAAAATTGCAAATTAAAAATGGGTACAAACCAAAAATAAAAATATATAATAAATAATTTAGCCATAAATATAAATATACTAATTCTAACATTTTTAACACTAAAGGAATATATTTTAAAATAAAAAATATTTCATTATTGAAATAATTAATGATGTTATTAATACCCAAGGACCTTGATCAAAAATTGAAAAGGAATAATGTTTTAATCAATGGAGTAACAAAAGGAGGAATGAGAACCTAATTTCTCCTAAATTAAATCACACACAATCAGAAAAATAGAAAACTCACCGGTAAACGTTTGATTGTATCCTTAACTTTTTTTCTGAAATCAAAAATCAAAACACATTAGAGAACCACACATAAACCACGAAAAAAAAAATTGAAATCCCATGTGGCAAGAATACCAAATAACTCACCAAGACCCAATCAAAAAATTCAAATCTCTACTTGGTTGTATTTGTAATGAATTGAATATTAAATTGTGGCTATCTTATGTTATTAGCGTGACTTTGTTACGAAATATGAATGTATTATATCGTTATGAAAATATTTTATTTTTACTTTTCGAGAAAATGGAAAGCAATGAACAAATGGTGGATTTCCGTATGAAATGAGCAGGCAAACACTATGTCAACTTTGTCATGGTTGAAGCCGTCCAAATGGAACAATGGATGTCATGGATAAACCATTAGTCACAACAATGGAAGAAGATATTCGTCATCACTATCTTCTTAGGAGAGCTCTTTTACTGTGTGGGGATCGCATGGAATTGGATGACACCAAATACAATGATGTATTTGTGAGAGGTGAGGGCATTCCTACGTAAATTTCTTTTTAATAATGTGAGCAAATATTCGGATGTCTGATTAGATTAACTCTTACATTAAATAGGGATCGCAAGACATTGAATGAGACCAAATACAATAAGGTATCGTACTCTTGTAAGAGGTGTTACAGGAATGATGCGGTAATTAAGGGCATCAGTACATAAGTTTGCTTTCTAACTTTGGAAATATTAAGGAAATTAGACGAAAAACCAACTCATATAACTGTGGAGAGCCAAACAAGTGGACCAATCAAGGAAAAAATACACAAACGAATACAAGTGGGTCAACACAAGAGAAGCATCGATTATAACTCTCCACCAATAACTCAATCAAATGGAAGACTTGCCAAGACCAATAAAAAAAAAACAACACATTTGAAGATAAAAACATATAACAAGATTTCTGTAGAACAGAAACATAATCAATTTTTACAACAAATCAATAAATTTATATACTCTCACCCTAAAAAAAAATCTATTCTCTCTAAACATTACAATGCTTCCTTTTATATCCCATAATCATAATATTTCTCTGCTCAGCTTAATCCATTTTCATCCTCAGAACAAGAAGAAGAGGAAGAGATAAACCTAACTCTTCTTCTTCTTCTTCTTTAATTCTTATTAACAATGGGTTCCTGCTTCCCTAAACAGCTCGAACGCCGGAAGGCGATCTCAACAGAGCGGAAAGTGCTACATGATCTCCACCAAAGCGTTGGTGAGAACTTCCCAGCATGTGCCTACAGGCCTCCAGACAGGAAAAATTGGATAGCGGGGATCAACCCAGAAAAAGTCCACGTAAACAAAATTGTATGGCCAGGAACTCACGATTCTGCAACCAACAAGATTGGAATTCCATGCATCACTAGGCCTTTTGGACAATGCCAAACAATGTCTATATACAAACAGCTTGTCACAGGCACTAGAGTCCTTGACATTCGGGTTCAGAAAGATTGCCATGTGTGCCATGGAATTCTCGTCACATACCACATTGAGGTCGTGATAAAGGACATTAAAAAATTTCTGTCAGAAACAGAGTCTGAGATCATACTTCTCGAAATCAGGACGGAATATGGGCACCAAGACCCTCCTGATTTCGATAAGTATTTGGTGGATCAGCTCGGGGAGGTTCTCATCAACCAGAATGACAATGTGTTCAACAAGACTATTTTAGAGTTGTTACCGAAGCGAATAATATGCGTGTGGAAGCCAAGGAATTCACCTCCCCCTAAGGCAGGCGGGCCTCTGTGGAATTCTATGTACTTGAGGGATGATTGGATTGATACGGATTTGCCATCAACAAAATTCGAGAACAATTTGAAGTGTTTGAGTGAACAACCTCCAATTTCATCAAGGAAATTTTTTTACAGGGTGGAGAACACAGTGACACCTCAGGCTGATAACCTTGTGGTATGTGTTAGGCCTGTGACCAGGCGGATTCACGAGTTTGCGCGGTTGTTTATAACGGAGTGCTTCTCTAGAGGTATTGCAGATAGGTTGCAAATCTTCTCTACTGATTTTATAGATGAGGATTTTGTTGATGCATGTGTTGCTGTTACATACTCAAGAATTGATCATGGGAAAGCCTGAGTTTTCATGTTAACTTGTGGCATATATATGGTAAAACAAAGTATATAGAGATTGGGTATATCTGTGGTATGTGGTATGTTGAAGAATGTTAAAGTCCCACCTTGAAACCTGAACAAATTGGATAGAACTTATATTGAGTGGTTCTACTGCTAATTCCATCAAGATCTTTTGATAAAACCCCACAACTTTTAGAATGAGTTACATTTAATATCAGTGTAAATATATTTTTCCACTATGAGATAGATTTTTCCAGTGTGAGTTAAACCCTTGTAATTATAATTACTAGCTACTTTTTTGTATCAATGATCCATGAAATTTGGCCTCTTATTTATTAATTTTTTCTTATATATTGTAATATAGAAAGATCTAGAGAGATTAGGATCTTAAGAATCTTTTATGTTAATAACCAAAACAACCATTAGAATCATGAGTTTATTGCAAGACTTCACCTTGAGGGAATGCCTGAGCGAAAAGTTAGTATTTCATTTGCATGTGTATATTAGGGTTTAGGGTACCTTCGTAACATATCTGACCATTTTGCGTGTGATGTCTGTTAAAATACATACCTTCGAAGTTTGATAAAAAAAAAAACTCTTCAAATAAACATAAAGTTGTTTATAATTTATTCAACTATAGATGTTATAAGAATTGCAGTAATTCGAAACTTATGCTATAGTTGCAAGGTGTCATGGCCGCAGTCCATGTTCTACACTTACGCTAGAGCACAATTATAGTATGACATATTTTGACTTTCATCATTTGCATGATTTTAGAATTCAAATATCTCAGTTTTCTTCTTTCTATGGTTATTCAATCAAACTTAATTAACCATCTCAAGTGATTTATTCTCTCTTTTAAATGAACAAATAGGTTATGACGTTGTCTCAAACTCTAATATTATTGAACTTTCAATGTGATGAGCAAATGATAAAATATCGGAGGAAACTATTATATGGAAGATAAGGGGGGGAGGGTTTGGGAGGGGGCACATCCATTTATTTATTCACTGAAACTACCCAACTATTGGGATTAATTGCTAAGCTACATACCTTCTTCTTGGTTACCAAAATTTCATCTGTTTGTTTTCCCCAATCTCCCAATCCTTGTTTTCCCAATCTCCCAATCCTCCCTCCGAGGGTTTTCTAGGGTTTTGTCCTTGGTCATCATTATACTTGCATTCCAAATGATGCACATATTCTCCTGTTTGCTAATAACGTATCATGACCATATAAATTCAACGATGGAAACCATTCAATTTTTTAATCTTCAATTCAAGATCACTCATACGACTAAAATGATTCTTCTTAGAATAATTTATTCAACTACATATGTTATAAGAAACGCAGTAATTCGAATAGACCAACTATTCCCCAAGATGTTTAGACTATGGTTGCAAGGCACCATGGCCGCAGTCCATGTTCAACACTTATGCTAGAGCACAATTGCAGTATGACATATCAAAACCCGACTTTCAGATCATTTGCATGGTTATTCAGTCAAACTTAATTAAACATCCCTAAGTGATTTATTCTCTCTTTTAAAAGAACAAATAGATTATGTTATCTCCAACTCTAATATTATGGAACTTTCAATCTGATGAGCAAATGATGAAATATTGGAGGAAACTATTATATGGAAGATTAATAAGACAGGGTTTGAGAGCATATCTGAGGGGCACAATCATTTTTATTTACTGAAACTACCCAACTATTGGGATTAATTGCTCAGCTACAAAATTTCCATTTTCCCCAATCTCCCAATCCTCCCCTCCGAGGGTTTTGTAGGGTTTCATCATAAATATGTTACTTACTACCTACATTATCAATTAGTCTTATACATTTGAATGACTAAATGATATGTGATTCAAATGAGTTTTTGTAGGAATAATCCTCAAATGAAGGTTAAGATATTGAACGATTCCGATTATGAAATTTGTACGGTAAATTTACATTATTCACAAAGGAGAAATTTCCCCAAATGGAGAATAACTTTTATCCGGATTTTTAATTGTCTTTCTAATCTTCTAATCTTTACTTCAGTCATTTGTTTTTTGTTTTTAACTACTGCGTAGGATTCTAATTTATGGAATTTGTTTCCCTAATACCCAGATGGTTTAGATTTTTTTGCTGCAAATGGAAATTTGAAGCTTAGAGCAAGTGGCCCTTGATCACAGTGATGAAAAAGTGTTGAGTCTTTGCATATATAATGGCATGGGTTTGAACTCCAACAATCGCTAATCTAACATCTATTCTAACAAAATCTATCATTTAAAAAAAAATACAAATTGAAGCATAAACTGGAAAAAACTGAAAATTCCTATGTGGATTATCTTCCTTTGTCTTACCACAACGGCAACCAAGGAGACATACCACTAAATGAGTCGTGTATTTTATAGGTAATACTCGAGTACCCACTAATAAATAGTTACCTTATGATTTTGTCAAATAATATTTTAACAGATCTTTTATTGTTTTATACAATAATGGGCATATTGTTAACTTTTCCTTGGTTTTAAAAATAAAAAAATACGTGATATTTTTTTTATTGGGTCACATCAGGAAGTAAGTACATATAGTACTTATTAGTAAGTACCAAAGTATTATTCATATTTTATGGGTAATACTTAGGTTACTAAAATATATATAAAGTAGAACCAATCTTGAGTATAATTTTTTTGGATTCCAATGTTCATCTATATGTGTATGGATAAAGTGAGCATCCAAAATGGTGAAGCACTCAAAATATCATAAATTGCCCCTTTAGAATTTCAAAAATTACAATTAAATTAAAAGGATTTAAAGTAATTTAACACATTTTAATTTTGAATGAATTTAAAATTTAAAACTTTAGAAAAAAATAACCAAAAAAACCTCCACATTAGTGGGTGGTTTATGGTTGACTTCTAATTTAATTTTGAATAAATTTTGAATAAAAAAAAAGTTTCCTTTTTCTTTTATTCATTTTTGTAAAAAAAACCATAAAAAAAACGTTAATTTAGCATACCAAGGACCACTGTTCTAAAAATCTTCTCCTAGCACCGCCTAAGCATTAGACGGCTGGTCACCACCCTGATTAATGCCTAGGCGTTTGAAAATTAAGAAAGGGTGTCTAGACCTACTGAGGTGCTCGCCTAGACCACCTAGGCACCCCCCAGCCCGCCCAGATTGGCCTAGGCACCCGCTTAGGTTGCGACTCACTTAGACAGAAAATAGATAACTTTCATTTTGCATTTTATTTTATTTTTTCAATAAATTGTAAGAGACTTGTTGAATACTTAAATGAGCATACATTATGTGCTTGTTCCCTATGTTTTCATTATGTTCCAATACTTCATAATATTTATGTCATTCTATTTTGTAGTTTATGATGAGATTATATATACTTTAAGTATAAACAAACATTTATTTACATGAAATATAATGGATTTACTAGCCGCCAAGGTGCTAAGCCCCAGCCCACCACTCGACTAGCATCTAGCGTCTTTTATAACCTTGCCAAGGCCAGTTAAGCATGTAACAAGAGGCTAGTGATACATCCTCAATGGGGCATATAATTAATGACACAAGGTATTTTCTCCGTTCAATCCCCCAAACAAGAGTTCTCCATACCAAAAGAGAGGCAATAAAGTGGCTCATCGATTAGCATGCTTGGGACTTTCAAGTGAGCAACGAAGAGTGTGGTTTGAAGAACCCCTGATATTATTATAGATCTCTTATGGAGAATAGTTTATCTTTGTAACTAAGGTGCGGGACACTCTTTTCCCTTTGACCAGGTTGAAATTCCTAGAAAAGTTTTTATCGAGGCCCATTTTTTTACACCATATCCTCCATGTACTGTACAAATTTCAAATTCCTTTATAAATGAATATTGTACTTTGAACTCAAAAAAAAAAAAAAAAAAAAAGCGGCTAATGAATAATTAAAACTAGTGAAACTCATTTGGTGAGCAAGTTGCTCAGAGCAACTGTTGGTATAAAAAAACCAGATAGATCATGTGATTTGCTCCAAGTGTTTCTTTTGGTTTTATGGCCAAAGAGAGGCTTGAGAGAAAATGTGAAAATATGCGTGTTATTGTTGAAGGCTCGACAGACAGTTTTTGTGTAAGAATTTATAGATTTGCGGTGATCTTGACTTCTTAACCAAACTATTGAGCACTAAATGGGATGTTAGATGGGTTAGGTTCATTTTGTGCCTCTGGGAATGAGAACTTTGGATTTTTTGTGTGTTATACTTGCCTAAAATGTAAATACAAAAAAAGTTCTTTAGACATTGTAAACACGAAAATTCTTTAATGAATGAAACAAGAACACGTGTACAAAGTAGATTTGTATTGATGAGTTTGTAGGGTTACAATCTTTATTTACAATTTTCCTCTGATTCAGTCTTCAAATTTGATGTAAATGCGTAGGTTGTTGATCCAAGGGTTGCGATGACTTGATCTCGGACAAACGATTGCTTCAAGTTTTGAGCTTGAAACAATGCATGGATATTCTTCACCTCTAGGTTGTGTATGACCTGCGGCTAAGGTGATGTTGATGTGGGATTTTGTTGATTCAAGGGTTTTGGTGACTTGATCTTGAATCAAACGTCGTTGCAAGTTTTAAGCTTGCAACAAAGTCTTGAAGGAATCAGCACAAGTTCTTGTGGATTCTTCAAGGGAATGCTTCGACTTTGATCGAAAGAAAGCTTCGGCTTTGGTTGTACATTCTTTGAAGAGAGCTTTGGCAGCATATTAGTCTTCAAAGATTTGGCAGAGGTTCTCCTTTTGTGAGAATTTCGGCCCTTCAATGTAGAAATTGTCGACCTTTATGCTTGTCTGAGGACCTTGTATTTATAGATTTCTCAAAGCTTTCCTTTGGATGGATTTGGCTTTGATTTGTATCTTAATTCGTCCATGGGAGAATTTAGGCATGTTTTGTGTCTTAATTTCAGCCACTTTCCCTTACTTGGCCGAAATCTATAGGGCTTTCTTGCCTATTTGCGAGCAATCTTCAATTCTTGCTTGTTTTGTAAAGATACTTTAGCTTTCATTTCGGTTTTGGGAGCAATTTGGGCCCCTTGCCAATTTTAAGGAGATTTCTTCATTTTGGCCGAATTTTAGGGAAGTTTTGAGTTTCCTTTGCTTGATTTGTGCCACATAACATTGATGACTTGTCCATTTGTGATGAGTCATATGCAACGTGGAGCTTTGTGATGCATCATTTGCATGCAACGAAATTTACATGTCTACGATATAGTCCCTTGCAACTCTTATTTCCTAGATAAAAACCCACCTAATTCTAAACATCAAAATAAAATCCAAATTTGAAAAAGACTGCCAAATAGAAAAGTAATTAACCTATTATTACAAAACATTTATAACTTGTGCCACAATATTCAAATCAAATCAATAAATATTATTACTTACCTTAATTATAATGAACAATTAATTATTGCACATCCTATTACCCCTAACTATATAAATATATACACACACACATAAATACATTCAAAAGTATATCATAGTACTAAAATTCAATATACATATAATTAACCTATATGTATATAGTACTACTATACGTTCAAATATATATATGCGCAGTACTAACAAATATGTTAAAAAATTATTATATGTAATTAGTTACCTATTTGTAAATTTATGATTAGCAATTAACAGTATTTTGTAGGTAAATTATTATTAAATAAAATAATATTGCGTTATTATGTAGATAAATTATTTTGTATATGTTGGAGTTTGTTTATTATGTAGGTAAATTATTTTTCATGTATTTTGCATAGATAGGGTAAATTATTTTGCGCAATCTAACATTTTAAAATTTTAATAGTAGGTGCACTATTTGAATCAAATAACATTTTTTTTTTAGGTAAATTATTTTGTATGAAATTTTACATATATTAGTCTTTTTTATTTTTATTTTTTATTTTATGTATGTGTGTGAAATAATTTACCTACATTAGTATGTAAAATATAACTTTAGTGACTTAATTAAGCATGTCAATATATTAGACATGTTATATTGTTATTATATATTAGGCAATGAATTTATAACAAATGTTTTTTTAGTAAAATTATTAATTCTCCCTTATAATTTGCATGGCATTAATTGTGTACATCAAACATTCAAATAGGAGTATTTTAGGCATTCAGAAAATTTTAAATGTGTTAAGTCAAACATAATTAATGAATTTGCTGATGTGGAATCTAATAAATGAGTTTTATTCGAGTAAAAAACTTATGTCGGGTCATATATGGAGAAAATTAAGTTTTATGGGCTAAAGTTATATTTTCAGTAGAAAAAATGACTTTAATCACTTCATAATTGAAACAGAACTACCATTATTGAAAAGAAATGTGTGGGCTAGGACCCAACCAACATAAGTAAAACTGAAAATGAAATACGCTTAATGTGAGAGAAAGCGACAAATTAGCAAGATTCAAGCCATGAAAGGCAGGATAATGCTGAAAGAAAAAACCAACTATATATAATATTGGGCAGAGTCAAGTAAGAGACATTGGGCCTCAAAGAGCTGAGTGTAAGGTTGGAACTAGGATTCGAAGTTCCCTGGTGGGGAGGGAGCAAATAATTTAAGGAAAACTAATGAAAATGACTTGAAAACTTTGAGTTTTAATGATAAGGACAAAATAAAGGGTAAAGTGAATAGTACCAGGTTTGACCTTTTAGTGTAAAAATGTGGTTTTTCGTTAAAGTGAACAGTACCGTGGGTTTTTCGTTAAAACTCCCTTTAATTAACTTCTAAAATATTCAACAAAATGAAAATATGAAAAAACTTATTTTATTTGTTGTAAATAGTGTTACTTTAGGAATGTGATTAGGGCTGATTTCAGTTCAGGGATCGAACCAAAAGCCCAAGCCCGAATACCGAATTCGAAAGAATCGGCTGCCAAATTCTTACGAGTAACTAAATTCTTTTCTAGGGCTAGGATGATGCCCAAGCATGAATACTTATGGTTTTCAATGACTATTTGATGGATATTTAGTTTTTATTGGATGAATTCTTATTCATTATAAGAATTGAATGCTTTATGTTTAAGTTCTCTGACTGGTCACGTTAGGGTTTTGCATATAGTAATTTGAAGATAAATTTGAGGCGTAACTGTAGTATGATTTGATTAGATTCTTGTGAATAAGGTTTGTGAATCACATAGATGCTATAACAAGATTTATGATTTGCATGATTTTCTCGTTCTCTTGTACGTAATGAGTTCTACATGTTAAATTTATGGCCTAACTGGATAGATTGCATGTTCGAATATATGACATTTGCCCTAACCAAAGAGAATTATATAGTTAAGGATAACTATGGCCTATAGTGCCTTAATCGGACTTAGATACAGAAATTTTTCATTTAAGAGATTAAATATTCCGTTGAAAGCATTGAAACCTAAACTAGATTGTTTGTGGTTGATTGTGAATTCCTAGACTTTCATTCCTTGCCTTATAACCTAACGTTTTCTTCTTTTTATTCTCTATTTTTGCTTATTTGTTTTTTTTTGTTTTTTAAATTTGCTTATAAAACCATCACGACAAACTCTTCACAACTTGAATTGAATTGTTAAAGATCGAAAATAGTTTATTTTTTGCGTTTTATATTTTTGAAAATTTGTGTTTTTAAATAATTAAATCTGGTTTAATTTATCAATTGAAGATTGAATTAGAATCTTCGTTAAAATGACACTTGGAGTTACAAAACACTATACTACAACTATCTTGTGCACTTGCGTTTACACCATAATCGTATAAGACACAATTATTGATACTTTTGCCATACTTGTGCATTTATGTTAAAAGGAAAAAAATAAAACAAAAAGGAATGATGCTTCACACCCAAGACGGATGGTAAAAGCTAAAATGCACGGGCATTTGTTTATCCAATTCCAACCCATTACATCTTAAGTTAACAAACGATATAATCAATCCGACCTCCCACCAAACCACTTGGAATGAAGCGACGATTGGTAAGATACCAACACCAGAAGCAACACCAACAAGACAGCAACACCCCACGGCGAGCTTGAACCGCCGCCACCGCCGCTGCCAACTCGGTGAACCAACTCGTGCTCCCGACGCCGGACTCCGAAGTTGAACCATCCGCTAGAAGAAATCGAAGAATACGAAGCTACCAAAAATACCAACAAAATAGGCAACGATATTAGGAAGATCTGTAAGTTGATGGCTGTGTGTTGCATTTGGGACTTGTAGTCAGTGTACTGAGAGAGCCATAACAAAGCAATGACAATGGCAAAGATGGTGAGCAAATGTGGGGGAGGTGCAGAGATTGAGGTTAGGGTTTGGCCAGTCCAACCTTGCTTCCACTGTGGGCCCCTCCTCTTAGGGTAGAACCACTCCATATTTGTCCTCTCAGGTGCCCTTGCACGCTAGGGTTCGTGTATATATACGAAGTAAATGGGGGAGTGTGGGTTGTTTAGCTTGAGTTATACACTATGTTGTGGCTTTGGCATATATGCTTTGAGTGTATGCTTTGTTTCTGACAAACTTTTACTTTGAACAAATGCTCTCTCTAGATGATTTGATTCCAAATTGGTTTCTTAATCAAGGATGAATCCGTGCAAGTAATTGTCACTAATCATGTGATATATTTGATACCTAATTGGTTTAGATGTCCTCTGTTTTGTTTGACAAACGACAGGACGATATTCTATCATTGTGGGGGATCGAACTTAGGTGTAGAATCACGCTGTTTAGTCAATTTAACTAAGCTCATGTTTGTAGATGTCATTAGTTGAGAAATTTCCGGTGTCTCACGTCACCGCATAATTTTTGTAGATGTCATTAGTTGAGAAATTTTCGGTGTCTCACGTCACCGCATAATTTTCAGTGCGACTCGCGTCGCCTTACGATGTTCACCAATCTAGTCTTCTGTTATAACACAAATATCTATTTTTCATTACCAGACCCTACGTCCACAAAATATCAATCATTTTTTAGCTTGAAATTTGTCGAAGAAATTATTTGTTTTACAATATTCATTCACCATATTACCTACGTGAGATGAGAATTGAGATTAGGGCAGGAAAGAGAGGACCCCAAAATGTGGATTTAATTACGAGAGGACCATTTTGTTCAAAACGTTCATGCCACAGAAAATAAAATGACTAGTATTTGCTCTCTAATGTCCACCAGAATAAGTGGCCCATGGAAAATGGATAGAAGATATTTTTCCATCTTTATAAAGGGGGAAAAACTTCCAAAACGACCCGAAAAAAATGAGAAAAAGAAAAATGAAACTTCCTTATGATAAACTAGCTCATACATTTGTTACAACATGCTTCAATCTCAAGGCATTGGCCCTTTATTTGATCTTGGAACCACCATAATCAAGCAGCAACTTTCTTGGCTGTCACAGAGTTGACGATAGTAGCGAATTCAGGACCCTAGATGAAGAAACTCAACTTGTTAGTACCAACTACAATGGAAAACAAACAGAAATGGTGCTAAACAACCTAATGCTTTAATGGTTTTATGTTCGAAATATCAAGGCAAATAATTGCGGTAGTATACCTTTAAGGATGCACCGCCAACAAGAAAACCATCAATATCTTCCTTCTTCGCGAGCTCAGCAGAATTGCCTCCATTTACAGACCCTGTTATCATATCCAGATTTAGTTTAATTTACTACCAACACTCAGATATTCATTCAGAGCCAAGACTAGAATATCCCAACCAGCTGACTGTCGAGCAGAATCATTATGTCCACATGTTTTGATATTTACCACAAGAACCCGTTCGAATGTTTCCTAAATTTCTTACATCTTACAGTTAAATCCATAGATGGTGCCCTTATAGCCAAGCCAAAGACCACAAATATTGAAAGTCTATAGACACATATTTACATAAACTGGCCCCTCTTGAACTACATTCGGAAATCTGCAGAGGTAACATTTTTAATAAACAGACAATCAATCAGAAAGTTGCAGGAAAAAAGTTACCTCCATAAATAATTCTTGTTTTAGATGCAACTTCTGCTGACACGTTCTGTTTCAGCCAATCACGAACAGCTACATGTACTTCCTGAGCTTGTTCTGGACTGGCCACCTTACCAGTCCCAATGGCCCATACAGGCTCATAAGCAACAACTATTTTATCCCAGCTCGGTACTGCGTCTGTGCACAGCAGACATATTAGTGTTATACAAAGGATAAGCTATTAATCTTGACTGCAGAATCATTAAAAAGAAGAGTGAAGTTACCAGCAAAAGCCTTCAGTTGCTGAAAGCAGACATCAAAAGTTTTACCCGCTTCCCTTTCTTCTAGCTTCTCACCGATGCAAGCAATTACTCCAAGGCCCTCACTCAAGGCATAGGCAGCTTTCTTTCCTATAAACTGTAGTTAAAAAACTTCAGTAACATTTTGAGTACTTACAGTAGATCAGAAAGTTCATTAATTTTTTTTATCCAGGACACCTCCATAAAAGTTTAAACAATAGGTTCGGGCAAGCATTCACCTGATCGTCTTCACCAATCACATGTCTCCGTTCTGAGTGCCCAAGAATAACCCATGTGGCTCCAATATCCTTCAGTTGTTCCACACTGCAAAACCGAAAAGGGTATTTATAGTAATTATGTAAATTCATTAAAGTGAAAGCATGGACAAAAGTGTGCAAATGCATTCATAAGAGAACTCAAAACTTATATATACTACTGCTAGAAGACTTGAATGTTTAAGTCACAATCCTGAAAGGACCACTGACTTCCCTTGAAGTACAAGGACTTAATAACTTTTTTCTATTGAATCCAAATTCAAACAGGACTGGTATAATGTTTAATTGCATTCTATCGAGAAACAGTCTTCCCGACATAATAGTAGAAGATCTTCGGAAGGGGGCGGAAAAGAAACAGAAACGATGAAACCACTACCCACCAAGTTTAAAATGTCATAATGAGAATGGTCTCCAATCACACAACCAAATATTAATTTCCAATTGCAAATGAACTTATATGTATATGTGAAGAACAAACTACTACGGAATTTAACAAGGAACAGAAACTAACCTGATTTCTCCCGTGAAAGCCCCACCCTTTCCAACCCAAGAATTTTGACCAGATAATTCAATACGATCTGTTAACGAGCTCTTCACCTGATCTAAGTAAAGAAATGGTGGTGCTACAACAACATCTGTACATATTATAAGAAAACTAAAAGTTATAAACATTACAAACTTATAATCTGAAATGAGATTGGTACAAACTGACTTTTACATGCAAGGTAACATGTTGGAATTGCCACCCTACATCTATGAACAACACCTTTTTGCTCGCTATATATAGTTATCTTCTAAAGTAACTTACTTTTCACTTCCATTCATGCAGAGTAATCTTCCCACCCGGACTTTGGTCATTCATCATGTATATGTAGCGACAGGAGTAAAGCAATATTTTAAATCTACTGCAAACTGAAAGATGTATATAAGGAAGATCAAACAGAACATTATCTCACCAACATCCGCTTCCAATTTTGCGCTGTTCAAGTCAGCGACTAGCTTTCTTATGGAGTCTTTTGTGCCATTCTAAAATGAAACAGCAAAAAAGATGAAAATGTCAAAAGACGAACTGAACCATACTAAAAGGGTTTGAAATTTGAATTCCTATGCATCTTCAACATCCAACAAAAGAGGCTAAGAAAATAGATTAAACAAATTTTACAAAACTAGTTAGTTATGTATCATTGAAATTAACAACTAAACTTAAAATACTGGGGCAGCATTATCGATTGACAGATGGTAGTTTTTCACAGATGCTATCGAGGAATCATGCACAGAACAAAAACAAAGGTAATGCAAAGCAAATAGAAAATGCAGGAACAGGGGTACTTACACACTTCCAGTTTCCACCAACAAAAAACTGCAAGCAAAATCAAAGATACAAACATTTAGAAAACAATCCGAAAACGATAATCTATAGCATTTCAGAATCCACAAATATGAATAAATTTTGAGTACATCCTGTGAAAATTCCAGATATTTATAGTGAAGGACAGCTGTATTCTTAGAATAAGGACTAAAATGTACAACATTTCTACAAAAAATCAGCAAACAATAAGAAACTTCTATCGATTAAGATCGAAGATCCTTCCTTTCAATTCCACATTTTCTCGGAAACCAAACAAAACACAAGCAAACTCGGATAATGAAATCAATTATATACCTTTCCCGTGCCGGCCATGGCGACGACGCCTCTGGAGGCCTTGCGAGAGGAGGAGGAGAGGCGGAGGTGGGAGTGAAGGTGCTGGAAGAGGGATTGGGTGGCGGAGAAAGAGTGAGAGAATTCGAGCTTGCAGCACGACGGACGGAGGCCGGAGTAAGAGGAGAGCGATTTAGGGCTGGAGAGTTGGGAGGCGAGAGATGTGGAGGCCACCGCCATGGATGCTGACTCAGTGAGTTGGGAGCTTCCGAGCTTACGGTGTTTTGCTTGTTTTGCTTCCTTTTTTTTTTTTTTTTTTTTTTTTTTTTTTTTTTGGGTAAATGGGTGTTTTGCTTGTTTGGTGCGAGTGAGCTAGTGAGTCAGTGAGCGAAGCCTCGCCACCTGTGGTGGTTAGGTTTTATGGTGACCAGAAAGGGTTGTGAGCGTTCACGCGGTTGATAGAACGTCAATCCACGCGACCTCATATTTTTTTTTTTTTTTGGATAACATCGCTTTACTAGCATAGACCATCTCCAATCGAAGGTAGGTCAGATGACTCGTTTTAGCCCTTTAGCCCTCCAAGAAATTAATATTTTAATAAACAATGCAGGACCATATTTCTTACCGTCTCCAACCGAAGGCCAAGCCAAACACAGCCCTGTCACAAAAAACCATCTCCAAACGAGGGTCAAACATAATTTATTATTTTAATTGAATTATGGTTACTTAAATTAAATTACCTCAATAATTTTATGTTATGGATTGTCAATAATTTTCATGTTGTTAAATGTTTTTAAAAATGTTGTTTAAGTTTCTTGTTGTTAAATTTTTTGGTTAATCTCAATTTACTACTATGAAATTTCATGGTTTTCAATATTTGGTACATGAAATTTTTTTTCATCCTAAAGTCATACCTCAAGTCTTAATTTTGGGACAGTTTCATACATCTGTTAAGTTTTCCGTTAGAACTTTTGCTAACTGATAACGTGGCATTCACGTGGACAATAACTAGGTGCCACGTGTCAATATAGGCCTACTTCAATATTAAAAAATTCCAAAAATACAAAAAAAAAAAAAAAAAAAAAAAAAAACCCACCAGTCTTCTACCACCCCCACCCTTCCTTCTTCCGTCTGCAACTCGCACCCATTCCCTATCTTCTCTCTTCTGCACCTACAACACCCTATTCGGCTCCCCCTTTTCTCTCCCTATTTTATCCCCCATTCTCCACAACCACCACCTCACCACCATTCCTCTCCTAACCCCCACCCTCCTCTTCATC